CCCCCTTAGATTACATCTTTTAGCACAATTTCTTCTCGTCTTCTACCAAGATTTATTAGTTCCAGCAGTACACCATTTCGGCATCACAGAAAGCTTACAAGTTTCCCCTCACTTGTGTTCGTATATGTAAAAATTCATTATACAGACGCTGGAACTAACATAATGTGTCCATCGAATGCCAACATGACCGATGCTACACGACAGAAGTTCCTTGACATGCATAACTACCTCAGGTGATTTTGAGTTTCATTTCAATCATCTTTTACGTGCTAGGAGAGAATAAACAAGATCAGTCCATAAATTGCATCATAAAGTTCAACATCTTGATACAACTGAGCGCCTATGCTTTAACAACCAGGTACAGAGGCTCCTATCGTTGTCGAAAAACCAGGAAAAAAAACGTATAGAAAACCTAAGTGCTGCACTAGCTGAATAATTTCTACGACACGACGCCAAAGCGGAGCACCACGCTGTCGCCAAGGTGTCTGAAAACTAGAGGTTACACTAGTATATATTTTTACCTGTCACATATATACAGGGGGGGGGGCAAAAAAAAAGACATTTTGCCTATGTCGCACTTCGGCCTTTTTTCTTCGCAGAGATTGCCGTCGTTGACGGAAGTTCCTCAGCAAGAGTATTCCCTAATGTCCCTCTATAAGTGACGCAGGCCCTCCTTCACTGCCCTCACCGTCTTCAGAATATGACGTCATCTGTCACCGTCGTCAGCTCAAGGAGGTCTACCGTAACTGCTTCAGCCTGAAGCTCTTACGCAATTTCGTGAATCGATTTAATGTTGGATAGTTTTCTAGAGGCATTAGCTCCCACTATGCAAATCCCCTCGAAACTAGCTTTCCAGTAAGGTCGTTATGGTACACGATCCTTCGAAGACCCCATTGAGCTCGACCAGTGCACCATGTTTCCAGGGCAAATTCTTCTGATGCCGTCCACGTAGGTGGCCACTATGAAGATTTTCTTATAGAATGGAATGCGCTCTTTAACACTTTGACGACAGCGCGGGACACATACGTCCCGCACTTTCACACGGAAGAGACTTGTTTTTCCTAAATTGTGCCTCCATTTTCATGCTTCAAGACTGGCCCTTCCTACTGTTGGATACGAAAAATAGTTCTCTCGTTACCACTAATGAAATTATTGGTAATGTAGTAACTGTTGATGCAAATTTGTAAAATAAGGTGGGTAG